CGTGAATGATGGCGAGCATCTCCTTGTCGTGAATCGGGTAGTTGCGTTCGGCTGCCTGCAACTTGCGTGACTCGTAGGCGATCGGTTGTAAGCCGTTGCCAAAATCCTGGAGCAGCACTGCGCCGATGGCAAAATCTGAAGCGTCGGTGACAACTTCAAACGGCTTGGATGGGTCGGCGATGCGAAGAACCGGAGGGGACACCAGTAACTGCTTCAACTCCTGAAAAGCCGCCTCAGCCTCCTCCCCCCACACGAAGTTCCTGTCCTTGTGCAGCAGGTCGGTCAGCGGGCCGGTTATCCCCGCCATATTCGGGATAAACCGCCGGACATAATTCACAAACCCCAGAAAACTCTGAAGTTCCGTGACATTAGTCGGGGCCTTCCACTCCTGGATGGTCTTGATTTTCTTCGGGTCGATTTTGATGCCGTCGCGTGAGATGACGTGCCCCAAAAACTCCAACTCTTGCTTAAAAAACTCGCACTTAGAGCCTTTGGTGATGAGCCGGTTCTCCTGTAGCCGCTTAAACACTGCGTCGAGGTCGCGGAGGTGCTGCTCGCGTGTCCTGCTAAAAATCAGAATATCGTCCAAGTAGACGATAACACACTTGTCTAGCAGGTCGCGAAATACCCTGTTCATGGTGCGTTGAAATGTTGATGGCGCGTTCGTGAGGCCGAAAGGCATCACGGTGAACTCGTAACTGCCGTAGCGGGTTCGGAAGGCGGTCTTGTGACAATCGTCAGCGAAGACCCTGATCTGGTGGTAACCGCCGCGTAGGTCAATCTTCGAGAAGTAGCGAGCGCCGCGAAGTTGGTCGAGGAGGTCGTCGGTGCGTGGGATGGGATAGCGAGATTTTATGGTAACCCGGTTGAGCGCGCGATAGTCGATGCACATGCGAATGCCGCCGTCCTTCTTCGGTGTGAACAGGATCGGCGCGGCAAAGGGCGAAGTACTGGGTCGGATGAAGTCCTTCTCCAACAGTGACTCAAGTTGACTTCGAAGCTCCGCGAGTTCGGGCTGAGTCAACCGCCACTGAGTGCGAACAGTCGGCTGCGCGCCGGGCTCCAGCTGGATTTTGTGGTCCTCGGGGCGTTCGGGTGGTAGTCCAGGTGGCAGGTCGTCGGGGAAGATGTCGGGGTATTGTCGAATCAGCTCCGCTAAATCAGGTGGTACAGCTGCGCACAGCTTCTCGATGTCGTTTCCGTCGGTGTCGGCTGCCAACTCGCGCAAGCATACGGCGAACAGTTGCGCACCCCTGTTGACGTGGCGTGTAATAGTGATGGCTTTGACGCATGTAGACTCGATGCAGTCCGGAGTCCACGCGGGCAGAGTAATCAGCTTCCCGTCCTTGCTGATGCTGCACGATCCCGTCGTCCAATCGATTACCGGGTTGTGCCGTCGCAGCCAATCGCGTCCCAGGAGCACGTCGCATCCGTCCAACGTCGTCGCGAGAAACTTCATGCTGAAGCCGAAATTGTCGCCGCACTCAATCCGCACCGTCCGTGTTTCTTCCAAAATCGCCAGAGGCGTCCCATCCACGAGGCGGGCGTCAATTTCGGGCAGACACCTGTCCAGCTGCAACTTGCATTTTTTTGCTGTCGCCAGATTGAAGAGGCTATGGCTAGCCCCGCCATCGACGAACATTTTAATTTTTTTTTTTAACAACCGTGCCAACAACCAGCACAGGGTGATCCACATGTTCACCCCCGTTATTCGTCCGAGTGCGATCGATTGCATGAATCGGAACCACGACTCGGTGGGGATGGTGGGGTTCGGGCGACAGAGCGCAGTCAGTAAGGGGCCCGTCTGTTACTGACTCTTCCCATTTCCCGGCTCCTTCCCGTCGTTCTTCTTTCCCTGCGTCCTGTCGGGGCAGTCTTTATACATGTGGCCCGGCTTCCCGCACTTAAAACACAACCCTGTAAAAGGGCGGTCTGGCGCATGGACTCCGTTAATCGTGGCCCGCTGGGTCTGTCCACGAAATCGGTTTCCCTCCCGAGAACTCGATCTCGCCCACTGCATCAGCGCGTCTGTGCTCTCGGCCAATCGGACGGCTTCGTTGAATGTTGCTGGACGGCTGCGGCGCACCTCGTACTGTATCTCATACTTCAAGCCGCTGATGTATTTATCCAACCGTTCAGCTTCCGCCATGTCGTCCACTTGATCCGCGAGCGCCATAAACGACGCCGTGTAGTCTTGAACAGAAGCCAACTGCGACCAGGTACGCAGCTTCATGCGAGCGTGTTCCGAGGCGGATACATGCTCGAAACGCTCTCGTAAGGCTGCGCCCCACTGCTTCCACGTGCGAATTGTGGCCACACCGAATATCGATGATGCCCTCCCAATAGCAGAGTCCGAAGTCCCGTCTGCCGCATGTGTCACACCTGTCGGGGTCCCCGTGTCCAAGGTTCGTCGCCACCACTCAAGCGCCGGGCCTCGCAGAAGCGATACCGCGTAATTAATACGCGTGGCGTCGTCGTTGACGTTCGCTGCAGTGAAGAACACCTCCACACCAAACAACCACCCCTTAATAGTAGTGTTCTTGTCGGTAGGGTTGAACGGGGGCGGGCTCGTAGGCTTTATCTTGATTGTTGTCACTGCAACTGTTGTCGCTGCCGCCGCTCGCTGCCTATCTTCTTCTTCGAAGCCGCGTGTGAGCTCCTCCAACGGATTGCCGCTCACCGCTTGACCAGTGCTCTCGCCTTCTTCAGCGGGCGACTCCTGGCGCGCTTCACCTCGCGCCTGGCGTAGCTCGTTGTTTTCTTCACGTAGTCTCTCCACCTCTGTCGTTAACGCCTTCATGCCTGCCGACATCTCCGCCACTTGCTGCATCAACGCGTCAAATGCCGCCTGGTCCATGAGTCGCAAGCTACGTCTAACAGGCAAGTGGGTCTCCGTGACTATCCGGCAACAGTGCAAGCGCAAAAGCTATCGGAGTCGGGCAAGTTTAATTTAATAAACTTTGCAACCAACCGCTTTGCAGCCCACCGTACCAGTCACACCCGTGCCACTAAACTACCCTGGAAAAGCGGGGTGAACTAGGAAAGTAGCTCTGATACCAGGTGTTATGAGTTGTCAAACAGAGTTGCGCGGAATAACGAATAACGAGGCTGTGACTCAATGGATTCACGATACAATGAAAGACATGCGATTATATAGCGAGGCAACCTAACTAGGCGGGAACCTCGGGAACACGAGGTTGAGGCAAAGGAAAGCCGAAGGCGACGCGAGGTTGCTTCGGCAGCAAGCAAAGCGGCCGAACGTGCACTTCCGAAAGTTGGGGTTGTACGCGGTTGAGTAAACCCCAGTAAGGAAAAAGGGTTTTTCCTTACACTGCATGAGCAAAACAAGGGCACAAATACAGGGAAATGCCAAAGTGAAGTGATGTCCATGTTGATTACGTATTTCTAAAAGCAAACGTGTTCTATGCATGCCCTCTTTATTATATTCATTCAATTGATGCCAGATTGTTTATAGACTATCCGCCTAGGCAACAGGCCATCTGTAGTGACACTATTCTGTTTTGACGAGTCGTATTGGAAGCTGTGAAAGATGTTCGTTGCAAGTATCGAGTTGCATAGTACCGCGTAATAGAGGTAAAATATCGTGTAACGTCAGCCAACTGCTGGCTGGCAAATTTTGGTCTCTTTGCCGAGTTGACCTGGGCTGACCTGACCCTCCCTAAACTCCACATTCGCAGGTGCCACCTGTAACCCAGCTCAACCCAAGTCAGTCCTACCAAAACTGCATGAAACCGATTCAACCGTTGCATTTCAAGGTTCTGGTGCAGGTGGTTGCTGCCCCTGTCACAAGGGCTTGCAACACCTCCCTCACCCTCCCATTTTACCCTAACCAATCTACTACCACCGCCCACGAGTGCCAGTTATAACCTACATACGTACTTCTGGGAGATATTAATTCCGTGCAGTGGTAAGGCGCGCCAACGATGGTTTTCAGACTCGTGAATCGAACTCATTTCGCTGTGTAGCGTGCCGCATCTCAGTCGACGTCTGACGAACATTGGAGCCAAGGCTGGTAACTATTCCGTCCGCCACCACCCGCGCCGACCGCCGAATTTCACGCATGGGGGCGCTGCGTGACCTGCGCTCGCCGTTCGACCCGCGGCGGCGGCGGCGCTGTCACCTCGCGCCCGCTGCGGGAGCTGCTGCAGCCATCGCGCTCTTGCCCTTCTTGGCGCTTGTGTGCCTTCTTGCTGCTCGATGCGCCTCCGTAAGCTCCAAGATTCGTAAACAAGATTCTGTCTTTCTAATGCTCCAACTATTGAGCCGTTCCAAGCACGCTGGCGTAACTCTTTCGAGGCGCTTTAAAACAATACACAGTGAATCCCCGCTATATTTCATCTTTGGCTTCTACATGCTGCTGGCTTTGACGTTCGTTTCCTATCTTTCCGATCTTACCAACGTCCCGCAATCTCCGCAATCACCGCAATCCCCGCAATCCCCCCGCAATTCCCGCGGTCCACCAGGCGCATCAGATGAGCGAGTACGCGGCGCCCTTCCTCGACTTCGACTTTGGCGACTCGGACAAGATGTGCGGCTCGTGGCCCGGCGAGTACATGGCGCTGCACGAGCGCATCCGCCAAGCCAGCAAGGACGCATACGCGGCTCGACTCAAGAGCGACGCCGCCGCCGCCGCCGCCGCCGCTGCCGCTTCTGCATCTGCCGCCCCCTCCGCCGCGGCTCCCTCCGCGCCCGACGGCGCCGAAGCCGCCGCCGCAGCGCCGCCGTCCGAAGCGGCACCGCCGCCGTACGACCCGTCGATCCGGTTCCTAACCTTCGAGTGGCTGAACGGGTGCGGCGGGTACGGCGACGTACTAGTCGGTCTAATCGCCGCGTTCGTAGTCGCCGTCCTAGACAACCGCGCGTTAATCATCCGCCACGCGTGCCTACCCGCGGCATTTCAGCCGAACCTAATCGACTGGGTAATTTCCCCCGACGTTCCGTTAGAACCGTCGCGGTTTATTAACGGGCCGCAGTCGTGGATGGGTCGGCCCGAGCCCGCGTCGCCCGGCGAGATTGTGTTTGTGGAGCTTAGGAATAAGTATGTGGAGTTAGAGCCGTATTTTTCGAAGCTGAACGCGTCGGTCAATGTGAGGCTGGCGTCGAATCGCGGCGTGCTGACGTACCTGCAGACGCGCGCCGCGGGGTCGTGGGCGCAGCGGTTCAGTCAGATCGGGATGCGGCTGCCGTACGCTGTGGGGTGCTTCCTGCGCTTCCTGTTCACGTGAGGAATGGGGAGTGGGGGCGGGGGCGGTGGAGGTGGGAGGAAAGGAGGCGGGAGAGTGGGTTGATGCACGCTGTGGGATGCTTCCTGCGCTTCCTATTCACGTGAGCGAGGGTGGGGGCGGGGAAGGAAGGGCAAAGGGGAGAAGAGGGAGGGAATGGACGGGATGGGGAAGGGAGGAAGAGGGGGGGTTGACGCATACTGCTGTACGCTGTGGGATGCTTCCTGCGCTTCCTGTTCACGTGAGCGGGGGGCTGGCGCGGGGGGAAATGGGGAGGGGGGGAGGAAGAGGGAGTAAGAGGGGGGTGATTCTGACTGCCGTAAGCTGTGCAATGCTTCCTGCGCTTCCTGTTCACGTGAGCGAGTGGGGGACACGGGGGGAGGAGAGGAAGGGGGAAGAGGAGGGGCGGGAGGGGGAAGAGGAAGGGGGAAGAGGAAGGGAATGGAGCGCGGGAAGGGGGAAAAGGTCAGTGCATACTGTTCGGGAGCAGCAGCTGCGCGCAGCCATGGCGGGGGAGGGGGGGCAGACTGGGGAGGTTGACGGCGGTGGGCATCCATATATGTGTGGAAATCACTGCCCCCCTTTTCCCCCGCCCAGTGCTCTCCCTCTTAAAAACCACCCATCCACCCCTTCTTTTCTTCTTCTCAAGCACCCGGCCAGAGGTGCAGGCGCTGGTGCGGGGCATGGAGCAGCAGCTGCGCGCAGCCATGGTGGGGGAGGGGGGGCAGGCGCGGGGGGTGGCGACGGTGGGAATTCACATCCGCGTGAATATCACAGGCGCCCCTCTCCCCCCCCTCAAGCGGTCTCCCTTGTTCAGAACAGCCGTTCACCCCTTCGTTCCTTTTTCTCAAGCATCCTGCCTCCTGTCCCTCCCACACACCTCCCCCCCTCCCTGTTCCCCATTTTTCCCCCCTTCCCCCCATTCTCCCCCCGTTCCCCAGTCTGCGGCCAGAGGTGCAGGCGCTAGTGCGGGGCATGGAGCAGCAGCTGCGCGCAGCCATGGTGGGGGAGGGGGGGCAGGCGCGGGGGGTGGCGACGGTGGGCATTCACATCCGCGTGAAGGACGGGTTCGTGTGGGACGGCAAGTGGGGGGACGGGGATCCGAAGCAGCTGAACGACGAGCAGGTGGCTTGGCTTGGCAAGCAGGCCAAGGAGTGGATTGACTGTGCTCTGGTGAGGAGTGGGGGCAAGTGGGTGGGAGGGAGGAGGGGAGGGTGGGTGAGGAAGGGAAAGGTGGGAGTGGGAGGGAGAGTAGATGAGTGTGGATGGGGAGGGGAAGGTGAGGGCGGGTGGGATGTGGGCTGTTTTTAAGGAGCTTAGAAGAGAAGAAGGTGAGGGGAGATAAGGGCGGGTGGGAGGGGAAGGTGAGGGCGGGTGGGCTGATATTGAGGCCCTGTGAAATCCACCAGCAGGTCAAGGAGTGGATTGAGTGTGCACAGGTGAGGGCAGGTGAGGAGTGGGGAGTGGGAGGGGTAGGGGAGGGGAGGGGAGGGGTGCAGGTGGAGGGTGGAAGGGGGAGGAAGGAGCGAGGATTGGGAAGGAGCAGAGAGTATAGAGAAGGGGGGCGAGCTGGGATGTGAGGGTGTGTGTGGAGAGAGGGAGGAGGTTGATGAGGGGGTGATGAATGGAAGTGCGTGAGGAATAGTACACCGTACACATGGTGCGTGGATTGCTTTTACACGCCTCAAATATCGAAGAGAAGCACACATGGAGAGTGGATGAGAGGTAAGAAGGGATTGTTTGTGCTTTTGGCAATGTTGAGGGGCAGCTGAGCAGCTGAGCAGCTGAGGATAGTCTGAAAACGGTTGTTGTGGACCATGGCTTGACAGCTTCTGAGAATTCTCACAAAGCGACTCGGTTTAAAAAGTGATGAAATGGCGTGGGCTATGGCTTCATACCGTAGCTTTTGAGGTTTTTTAAAGGCGACTCAGGTTCATATGTGCGGGTGCCATAGACCCCGGCTTGTGAATAAGCCGCCTCAAATTCGTCTCATCACCCCCATCCGCGCGCTCCCACTTCACTCCACCCCTCTTCCTGCCGTGCCTGTCCTGCGTCACAGAAAGTGGAGGGGTACTGGTTCCCGTCTTCCCTGGGTGTGCGCTGGATGCTTATCACCAACTCCGCCCAGCTCAAGCAAGCTATTAAATCCCAGTACCCCGATAAGGTGCCCGCGCCCCGCCCACCCTTTCTTCCTGCCGTGCTTTTTCTTTCATTTAGTCGACTCCAATATCACTTCAAACTTACCATTTAGTCGCATTAATCCAATAAGGTCACACACTCTTCTGTGCTTCCACCCATCTGGTTCTTTGTCTAGTTCTCCCTGCATACTCCTCCTCCTCCTCCTCCTCCTCCTCCTCCTCCTCCTCCTCCTCCTCCTCCTCCTCCTCCTCCTCCTCCTCCTCCTCCTCCTCCTCCTCCTCCTCCTCCTCCTCCTCCTCCCCCTCCTCCTCCTCCTCCTCCTCCTCCTCCTCCTCCTCCTCCTGCTCCTCCTGCTACTCCTACTTCTCACCACCACCATCACCGTCAGTATCACTCATAGTTATGACATGCTTTTGCTATCGACTGTAGAAGCTAAGCCTTTGCCTGTTCTATTTCCCTGACGGTTTCTCGCATCTAACTGTATGCCTGGTGCAGTGTCCTCTTTCCCAATCTGCATGACTACCGTATAAGCCCATTCCTATGCCCATGCTCTAATAGAAGTGTGCAGTCACTTCCATTGGATCACACTGCACTCGTTAGCACACTTCTCGATGCCATGCTTTTTTTCATCTTCTTTTTCTCCCTTTTTGATGGCATTCCTGTCCTTGCTGCTCCTGTCCCATTCCATCTTCCCTTTCCAGGTCTTCACCACTGACTTTGTGCCACGTCATTCCAACAACCTGGGGGCAGTTGACACTGAAGCCTCACGTCGCCCAGCTGGGATGGTAGCCCCAGATGCAGAGTACACTGACGCCAACATTAGCACGACAGCTGCAGCTTCCAATGCCACCAGCACCACTATTGAGAAGGACAAGCAGGAAGAGGCTCGGCTGTTCCAGGAGGTTGTTACAGAATGGTTATTGTTGGCATCCTGCGATGCATACGTTGTGTCCGAGTCAGGGTATTCGCACACTGCTGTGTTCTATGCCAGAAGGCCTATGGCAGCTTTCCAGTATGACAGATGTGACCCAGAGTTACCAGTGCAGACAACTATTATGGGACAGTCTTGGAGTGGGATTTGAAAGACATTACACGTTCTGATTTTGTTCGTCTTTTATTGGAATGCCAAAGAGGCGTTTTCTTCATAATCCTGTGCAGCAAGAGCATCTGCTGAGCCAGTTTTGTGCCATTTTGGACTCCCAAGTGTATACGCATTGCTGTCATTTACAGGAACTAGACATTACCATAATCTGAAGTCAGTGCTAGCAGTTAATCTAGGACTGATTCTAATGCTGAGCAATTACACTAGTGTTAACACAGGTACGGTAAGACAGTTCTTGCGACGGCCAGCTGTGGAAACAGGAGCAGGATGACTCGTCATGGACTGCTTATGAATCCACATCACCGCTGTTGCAGCGACTGGCAGGAGGTGGGCATGTGATTGCTGCATTTCTCACTCAATGGCCACAATGCTTGCATCAGATGAGTCGCAGAGACTTGGCAATGCCATCTTACGAAGTCCAACCCTTCTCTTCAAACCCCCTGGTGGCACTGCAGGCCAATAAGGCTCCGGTGAACAGACTTGCACTTCCACTGGAGTTGGCAAACCTGGAAAACACCCCATGTTCAACACAAGACATCAAGTGAGTTATATGTAACCAAACTGAATCACTAACATATCATTCGTTTGGAAATGTAAAACCGCGGGGAAAGGAACGTACTCTGATGAGGTCGGCCATATGTAACCATCTCCAAGCGCCACCACTCCAAAGGCTTCATGCGCGGCCGCGTGCTCTTTCGTATGTTGCCATCCCAAACCAGTCCACCACCTGTTGCACAGGCGCCGGAGAAGCAGATGACGTTTTACAACAAAACCTGAAGGAGAAACATGTCAAGGTAAGCAACTAAGAAGTCCAACCACTTACCTGCCAAGCTGCTTCTGCGATTACGCAAGTTCCTTGACTTTTCCTTCTGAGCCTGAGAGGCACAAGGGATGGTATGTTAGTTTATGTGACTTTGGATGTATTCCAGAGCAAAAAGCGAAGTGCATGCACACCTTAGACGACTTCTTCCTCGTCAGATATGATCCAGCCTGCAGGCATAAGTGGCAAAGAATCAGTTGACCGAACGAACGCTGAACATGACACAGCGCCATCAGACAGTTGCTCACCTCTGGGGTTAACGGGAGCACAGCATACTCTTCCGGCGAACCAGACGAACCAGCAATTCTCACAGACTTGCCGGCCGATTTGCGCCCAGACTTGAGTGCGGATTTGAGTGCAACGGTTGGTGCTTGCTGGGCGACTGGAGTGTTTGGGACGGTGTCAGATACCGAACTCGTGGATCCAGCTTCCACGACAGCAGGAAGAGGGGAAACGCATGGCTTCTTACTGATCTGTGCTGAGCACATGATCTCCACGTCATCCTCATTGTTTTTTTCAGCAACTTGTTCGGCTCCGGAGACACCATCGTCCATCATGCCTTCCATTGCTTCACTGGCTCCAGAGTCAACTTCCGTAGACTGAGGTGAGCCAGTCATCGGCTCATCACCTTCAGCACCATGATCTTTCTCCTCCGCATCAGCCTGATGTGCAGCTTCATCACGCTCGACCTCTTCTGTAGCGTCTGCAACTGGTGACTCGCTGACTTCCACACGTCCAATCCCATTCTCTTCAAAAGCGGTATGCAGGTTCTTGATTCCAGAATCATTCAGATGAGTAACACTTTCAGGCGCCTCTGAATCGGGCTCGGTGGCTTCCGCTCGTTCACGAGTATTTCCTGTATGTCCACTTGGGTTTAGAACCAACGAATTCCAAACCATCGATCCCGCCCGAACATCGGCTTTCTTTTGCAACATGTCCTCGAGACGCATTTGATCTTCCCCCAACTTGGACGGCTGATCCTTCTTTGCAAAAACAGCATGAATCTCCTCATCCTCTTCTTCGAATTCCTCGTCGTCGGCAAAATTAGGTGTTCTTAAACCAAACGGTCTTCGCTTCTTTACCCTGAACCAGTACAAAGGTTTAATTTATATTACTGAAGATGGCAAAATGCGTGATTAAGTCGTCAAGCAAATGATTACGAAACGCACCTTCCTGTTCCGTGCCGCTTCATCTTTGAGATCTGCTTTTCTGAAACGACATGAGAACCTGCAGGGTAGCAATTCACAAACAGTTTCAAGGTAGCATCGCAAAGCAATGTCAAAGAAATGTGCGTTCTGATAGAAACGACGCTTCTCACCCATCATCCGACTGGCCACTTCTTCATACGGCAACGGTTTCCTGCATGGAGGAAGGGGTACATGTGAGTTTATGGAATCTTCATCAGTGACGCTATGCGTTTTTTTTCATGCACGTACAATGTTAGGTCGAATTTCCGAGCCGGTCTCTTTTGGCCTTGCGAGGTCCCCGTACCGATCCTAAGGGACTTTCTGTTTAGAAGACCAAGCTCGTGCTGGTTCAGCGAGCATACGTCTCGGGAACGTATAGTAGCGTCGCTATCCAGGGCCTGCAGGACAAATTAAGTCACGTAAATTTCTCGCACTGAAAAAAAAGACCAATAGGTAGGGAAATAAAAATGGAAGAAGAGAATAAAAATCAGAACCGTACTTCTCTATACTCTTCAAGAACTCTCGTGTCTACCGATTCCTCGACGTCCATGTCCTCTTCACGATTGAAAAAATTCGGCATGAGGTCAGCTAAATTATCATCATGCGATAGAGCCATTGCAAACTCTCCAGCAGGAGTTTCTCCGTAGCGATGTCAGCACCAAATCAGGCTTTGGTAAAAGATAATCTAAAAACAAAGGTAGGACCAAAACAGGTTGAGGGTCTGAGGAGACAGGTGAGGACGGTGCGATGAAGTGATGATTGAACATGAATAGTGGGGAACAGGATGGCAAGTTTGAATTCATTCCCGCACAAACCGAGGTAGCAAATATGCGCAGTGGGTTGATCCCTGCTGGGCGTTCAGAAGGGGGTGTTTGGCTTGGGCGCAGCAGGCAGGGGCTGGCCGAAGCGCTATGTGCCAGTTGCCGCACAATACTCTAGTCACTGATTTGCCAAAGCCCCACGGTTTGGCGGGAGCGAGGGTGACAGGCTGCAGAGTACCGGTTGTAGATGGACTCACTATTTTCGAAAGAGGATTCTATGGGCCAATTAACAAAGCATAAAACAATACATATAGGATGTAAAGTAACAAATAGTGTTATTACTTTTCACCCAACTCTAAACGCAGTTCACATCGTAGCACATAAATGTAGTAATTTAGCTGTTAATCAGTATCTACCATTCATATTTGCTTCATAATAGCTATGAATCATATTTTACCACTGGCAGATTTTTCAAGTTATCTTTCTGGCGAATTCAAATGTGTGTTTTAGCAAATGAGCATGAGTATCATACAAGCTAGTCACTGTGTGCTGCATGTCAGCTTCTTTTAACGGGAAAGTGTTCACCTCCACGTGGCACCCCACATAGCCAGACCTCGTATGGAGCACAGTCTAGTGGATAATTGGATCCGATGTGCTCTGCTGGACATCACCAATCGCTCACGTGGCGATCGAGTTGCTATCCCGGTACGATCAGCTGCTTTCCGTAGGCGCTTCGTACCCAAATCCATCATGGTTGAGTCGAGCAAATCGGAACCGTCCAATCGCTGAATCGTCTCCTTTCCCGCGTGTGTTTAATGGCCCAGCGATGTCTTCGCGCTACCGTGTCGGCCTGGCGTGAGCGTTCGATTGCTCGTGTCAGTCATTTGAGCCCTCGATTTCCCACAATCCCACCCCTTCAGAGAATCTTGACATCTCCGTTGCCGTTGTGCGGCGCAGTATCCCAATTGAGTTACCTTCAACACAAACTTACGAACCACACCTAAACGCACAGAAACATTAGGAAAATACGAAAACGGAGATTTGACCGCATCCAATCACACGTCCCCGGACCAGAGTACCCACAACCACGCTCTGTCCCCAAGCTTGGGGTGCCCTTCCATTTCAGCCATTGTTTGTCCACCCCACAAAAATCACACATCACCACCACACAGGCCACTTTCACACGAGCCATTGTAGCCCCCCAAGAATCGCTGACCAGCAGCGATCCTCAAGGGCCAGTGAAACCCAGCCAGCTCTCGACCAGACGCTCGCCAGCCATGGCTCTTGCAGCAGCGGGGTCCGTCGCAGTCGCTCAAATGCTGTCCAGCAGCGGCCTCAGGCCGCAGTCGTTGTCGCTGGGCCAGCAGCAGCAGCAGCTGCTCTTTTCCCCGCAAATCGCCACCAGCACCTCCTTTACCGCCACTCCCAGCGGCAGCCGCGTCGTCGCCGTGCGCGCGAAAGACGGAGGCAGCCAACGGCCCGCCTTCGGCACGCAATTCTTCAAGAAACGCGCCCAGGAGGAGGAGGAAGAGGAGGAGGAGGAACCTCGACAACGGAACGCAGGTCTTCAAGAACTTCTTCTCCCCCAGACCCGCCGTGCAAGACGACGATGAGGAGGAGGATGCCGCCCCGCAACAGACGCGCAAGTTCGCGGTTCCCGAGGAGATCCCCGCGGCGCCTCAGGGGCTGTTCGGGCTCGTGAAGCTTCCCTTCGCCGGGCTGATTCGCGGGCGCCCCGCGGACCGCAAGACGGTGTTCGTGGCGGGCGCGACGGGGCTGACGGGCGCGCGCGTGGTGGTGGAGCTGCTGTCCGCGGGCCTGAGCGTGCGCGCGGGCGTGGAGGATCTCAGCGACGCGCAGCAGCTCGCGGAGCTCGCCGCCAAGTACAAGGTAATGCGGCACGATCCGGTGGAGTGCGGCGGGATTGGGCGCACTTGAACTTATTTCTTTGGGTTACCGTTCGAACAAGATAGAAATGTGTGGGGATGGATGAGTCTATGAACGAGTGTCGCGGTTCCATGAAAGCAAAGAGCACTGTCATGCTTCGTGTGCTCGTTGAAGCACTGACATTTGCCTCAAGCCCTTCACATGAAGCGTAGTCTCTTACTCAATCCGCTCTCAAGTTCGCCTCTTGCACGTTAAATACCCGTTTCTTTTCTTCCATGCAAGGCGCAAGTGCTCCCGTCTTTGCTCTCACTCGCTTGCCTCAGCCCGTCATGTTCCACGCTCTTTCTTTTTTGCGTTTAAACCGAATTAAACCCGACCTACCCGCTTTCCGCTTCGATCCTCTTTCAAACCTCTTCCCAGCTGTACCTCCTCTCTTCCGGTCATTCGTTTCTTCCTCCCTCTCTCCCCATCCTCGCTTTATCGCCTCGGGTGATCACGCTCGAAAACGCCAACCACCTCAGCTTTCTAGAGTCTGTTCCAGACGCATCAATCTCATCAATTTCGACTTCGTATATCCACATTCTCCAGTCATTTTTACTGTTCATCCCTCCCTCCCCCGCGCGACGTCCATGGCGGCAGGTGATCACGGGCGAGGAGGCGAAGCGCCTCAACTTCGTCGAGTATTCCGCCAGCGACTCGGAGTTCACCGCCAAGTCCATCGCTAACGCGGGCACCGTTGTAGTCACGCTCGGCGCCGGCGAAAACGGCCCCAGCGGCAATCTCGAGATCGACGAGGCGCTCTCCCTGGCGCGCGCCGCGATCCTCGCGAACGCGCCGGCGTTCGTGCTCGTCTCCGACTTCGCCGCCGCGCCCGCCGGCGTCGCGGTGAAGGACAAGAAGAGCGGCGGCGGCGGCGGCGGCGGGCTGATTGCGGCGATCCTGAATTTCTTCCGATCGCTGGCGGGGAAGAAAGGCGAATCGGCGTCGTACAGCGCCGTGTTGACGGAGCTTGTGGAGGCTGACTCGCTTGAGTACACCGTGCTGCGCGTGGGGAAATTCGAGGCGGACTCTAGCGCGTACAGGACGAACCTGGTGGTCGGGGAGGAGGGCAGCATCGCCGCAGGCTCGGTGAGTGTTGTGTTGCGTGGGGGGGGGGGTTTGAGGAGCCTGCGTGAAGGAAGCGCGTGGGATGCAAACGTTATCCAAAGCGCAGAATTAATGGATTGATCGATGAGTGAGCGCCATTGAGGGTGCGTGCGTGCCGTGCCGGAGAGCGAGGATTTCAAGTCGATGTTGTCTTTTAGGCGCGAATCGTATAAGCCGCCGTAGTGCTCGTCGCAGGGTTGGAAAGTTCGTTCGTCGATTTGAGGTGTCTTGAGGAGCGCGTGAGCTCTGGAAGCGGAGATATGAGAAGGGATGGCGTGGGGGTGGGTGTATTCAAGGGGGAAGTGCGGGGTTTAGTGAAATGGCCTGCGGTGTGGAGGGGTTTTGTGGGGAGTTTTGCAGAGGGCTTTCTCGATTCATCACCCTTTTCACCTCCCGCTGACCCGTCTCCCCTCTTCCCCGTCTCCCGGTCTCCCCGTCTCCCCCTCTTCCCTCCAATGCAGCTCGCCCGCGTGCAGGTGGCGCAGGTCATCGCAGCCATTGCCGCCAACCCTGGACTCGCAGCTAACAAGGTGTCTGAGATGGGAACAGGAAGAGGGGAAGGGATGGAGAGAGATAGGGGGTGGGAAATGCGGAGGGGTAGATGAGTGGGTGGGTGAGAGTGTGGGTGGGAAATTTCTTGCCTAGAGAGTGAGGTTGACAACACGGGGGGGGGGGGGGAGGGGAAGGGGGAGGGAGTAGAAAATTGACGAGTGAGTGAGGGTGGGATTGCAGTAGAACATGTTACCATTAATTATCCTGTCGGTGGCCTGGCCACATGGCGTTGAAACGAAGTGTCATTGACCTACTTTGCTGCAATCCGTGACTTACTGTTTTCTTTCTCTCTCTGAATCCCTCTTTTCCCCCTTCCTATCCTTCTGTTCCCCATCTCTCTCCCTCCTAAGGTGGTGGACCTCGTCGCATCTGCTGATGCTGAAGCTGCTGATATTGCAGAGCTGCTCGCGTGAGTCCGTTTCCCTCACACTCCTCGCAGTTTCCTTGCGCTCTCTCTCGCCCTCTTTGTGATTCTTCTCTCTTTGCTCTGTCTAGAGGCGCGTTGAGGTGGCAAGGCTGCCGCTAGCATGTGCATGTGCATGCCTACACACAGTGGCATGCATCCGTGCATGCATGCGACCGCACATGCACACGCACCTGCACATGTACACACATACCCTGACACCCATACACCCACATGCATGGACGCACTCTCCCGTCTGCGCACACATGCACGCTTACACTCGCTTCCCCTCGAACATTGTCCTCCGTATGCACAAAGGCACCAAGTCGAAAACTGCTCCAGCACAAACCCACTAACCACTCTCTTTTTCTCACTCTCTGCCTCTCGCATACCCTCGCTCTCTGAATCACTGCTGCTCCTGGCTTCTCCCCCGGCCCTCCCGTCCTCCCTCCCTCCAACCAGTGAGGTCCCTGAGGACCCGCGCCGGGCCAAGAAGAAGGAAGAGGTGACTTGTGCCGACTCGGTAGAATTTTCCACCGCCCTTCCCTCCCTCCCTCCCTCCCTCCCCCCATCCAGTGAGGTCCCTGAGGACCCGCGCCGGGCCAAGAAGAAGGAGGCAGCAGAGAGGGCAGCAGCGGAGGAGCAGGAGAAGCAGCTGCGCCTGCTGGCGTCGGCAGAGGCGGAGGCAGCAGCAGAGGAGGCCAGGCGCGCTGCTGAGAGCGCTGCTGCTCTTGAGGCCCAGGCCAAGGCCCTGGCTGGTGCGTGGGGGGGGGGGGGGGGGGGGGGGGTGCTCGTGGGTGGGACTAGGGAGAAGGGGGATGGGACGTGACTGGAGATTGGGGGAAGACTTTTGAGGCGCGCTGCTGAGAGCGCTGCTGCTCTTTGAGGCTTGGGCCAAGGCCCTGGCTGGTGCGTGGGGTGGGGTGTGGGTGCTCGTGGGTGGGGTTAGGGAAAAGTGAGATGGGACGTGACTGGAGATGGGGGAACAGAGGGTTTGCGGATGTGGAATGGTAGCTAGTGAGAGCGGGTGTTGCTTGTGAGAGTTGGCATGGGATGTGAAGGAGCAGAGAGGGAGTTAGTGAAGCTAGAATGGAAATTGTTTGAAAGTGCTGGATATTAGCGGCTCTACTTCAAGGGCAGTGGGTATACTTGGTTTGTGCTCATCTCATCTTCTGATCTGTGGCCCATCCCATCCTTATTACTTTCTGTTCCATTCTCCGTTCTTCATACTTTTCCCTCTCGTGCTTCCGTTGCATCCCTTCAGCCGAAGAGGCACGTGCGGCGGCAGCAGCAGCCAAGGCAGCAGCGCGTGCGCAAGCCGCTTCCACCGCTGTCTCAAGCATTGAAAGCAACCTCAAAGAAGCTGGCGCCTCCATCCCTCCGCCCTCCGCCAAACCCGCCGCTGCAGCTGCTGCTGCCCCTGCTGCTGCATTCTCCGCCCCGTCCCTCCCATCCTTCGGTGACTTGGCCAAGAAAATCCCCACCCCTGATCTAGGCGCTGCTGCTAGCTCGTTCACTGCAGCTGCTTCTGCTGCTGCTGCCAAGGCCACAGGAGGAACAGAGAAGGCTGTAGCTGCTCCTGCTGATGCGCCGAAGCAGAGGCGGCCGCTCAGGCAGAGGCAATCCAAGCCTGCTGCTGCTGCTGCTGCTCCTGCTGCGCCTGCCGCTCCCAAGCCTGTGGAGAAGCGTAAGGCGTTTGGCGGGCTGCTGGTGCAAGAGACTGTGTATGTGGATGAGGATGCTGGTGACTTTTGAGCTTGGCAATGGAGGGGGTTGGAATTTGGTTGTTTGGTTGTCTATTTATAGGTTTAGCTGGAATGCCTGCGGGCAGCTGCTACCGTAAATGTAGTAGATTTTTAGGTGACTGATGTGAGGTGGACTTTGGATGGAGGTTGGCTGGAAGTTGGTTGTAACTTTTGTGGAAGCAGTCCAAACCCTCATTGCCTGAACCGCATTGGGACAGAGGGTAAGTGCTGCAACAAGAAGAGAAGTGATGAACTGGAAATAAGTTGACCAAAGAAGTGGAGTACACAACAGACAATCATTGTACGTGATGCTTGATCCGAAAGCTTTGCTTCCTCTATGTGCACAATTCCTCCCTGTTGGACAACTACCTAGAAGGAAATTTTATTTCCTTACTTCGCACCCCTGCGCATCGCATACACTGTTCCTGCCAAGAGTACCCAACAGTAAACCGTTACCCCTCGTGACACTCCCTGCAATCACTGCTCTGCCACTGTTCACATTGCCACCCAACCTCACGGCTCGGTTGGTAACCGGCACCCCAGACCCTCGCCTCGACAATTTTCAACCTCGGCACCAGGCCCGTCGCCAGGGCTCTTGCAAGGACTTCAGCCTGTCTGGAAACACGATAAGGTACGTCAATACTACTAAATTGCACATCTCATTTATTTACAGACTACAGTACTCCAGCAATAACAAAAAAGAAAACAAGCGAACAACCAGCAAGCCCAAAAACTCTCTCACACACATACACACACACATACACACACACACACACACACACACACACACACACACACACACACACACACATACACACACACACACACACACACACACACAAGCATAAACTGAAGTGCATCCTCATGGATTTGCACTACGCTTAATAGCAGCAGCTCCTTCGGGAGGACTGTACAAACTACCTAGCGGCAATGAATACCGTCATCGCCCGGATATAAGACATATATGTCTTATCTCGTACACGGGAAAAAATGCTTGAGTTATCTTGTAAACGGGATGCTTTAGGGTGTCTTATAAATCTTATAAATGGAAACTTTTTAAACTACTTAGAAATATTTTCCGTACTTCTTGAAAAAGAGTTCCTCATAATGCATGTGGATGTTGCGAATGTGCCACTTCGGCAACCAATGCCCGGGACGCCACGTCATGGAGAACACCTGCAGAGGCAAATTTGGTAGGTCCTGGGTCAGCGCGTGGAGAAATTCGCGCTTCGCAAGGGTAAAAATGTATATTGTTATTTTAACTTTCGCTATAATATATTGAAGTTTCGATTATAAGACATATATGTCTTATCTCGTACACACAAATAGGTGTCTTATAATGAGGCTAGCCTGTTTATAAGAGACACCCGTATAGTAGACAACCCCTGTCTACTATTCAACACTGTCTTATATCCGGGCGTTTACGGTAGGCAACAGGCTATTGCTACACCTCGTCAAGAACAAGGATTGAAATGAGTTGAGGGTGTTTGTCCATGCTCCATGGATCGTGGAACGATGCTTCTCCTTCTCACATCCGCGGTGAAAGCACCCTCCAGCTGAAATGCATTCATTCGTTATGCTAATTCTTCCCATGATTCTCCTTGTACTGATACTCCATTACTACGCGCCCATTCAGAGGCTGCACTGCGCGGTTGTTGGTGCGGTCGCCATGGTTGATATCCGCCAGGAAGTTCTGGTACCTCAGCAGCTGCAGGTGCAAGGAGAGAGAAAGAGAGAGAGAGAGAGAGAGAGAGAGAGAGAGAGAGAGAGAGAGAGAGAGAGAGAGAGAGAGAGAGAGAGAGAGAGAGAGAGAGAGAGAGAGAGAGAGAGAGAGAGAGAGAGAGACTTAGCCTCTGCCTCTTGCCTCTGCCTCTGCCCTCTAGCTATATATAGGGCCCTTGGGGTCATTTCTCAGTCATTAGTTCGTTTTGGTGCCAGTTTTCTTCGGCGCTCCCGCCGGCGGCCTTCGGCCGCCAGCGCTCGCGTTGCGCGACCTTCGGCCGCGTGCCTAGGGGTGGCAAGGATTAACAGCAACACAAGCAATAAACCAAACATCACAAGACAGCCATGGGCCGCGCCACTCGCTACTAGATCAAGAAATGCAAAGGGTCTACGTGCGGCGGGTGCCAGGAACTACATCTGATGGGCATCCAGCGCCGCAAGGATACCACGCGTGGTCCTCCACAGTTGCTGGACCACTAACGCGGTCGCGCCTAAGGCTTCAATCCCGCCACCAGCCTGGAGGTGTGCGGTCAGACCCTGGACCGTTACGTCCAGTTCAGAAACCGCAACGCCTCCCAACGCGGGCGCTGCCAGCACGGGTAGGAGGAGGAAGGCAAGCTGCGCAGCTGCAGCCTGACAATCAGCTCGCGCCCCACGACCGAGAGTGCTCCCTGGGCTCTGGAGAATGGCGAAATGCGCATTCACCAGAATCAGTGACAGGGCCCGCTGACACTCCGTCAGGCGCCACAGCTGAGCAAGGGTCGCCGTGGGAACTTCAGCCAGGGCGGTCGCCAGTGTCGCAGGTGGAACCGGAAGGGTGGGCGGAGGCTGCACGGACGGAGCATCAGCAACGCGGCGCGGTGGGACGAACGCCCCTCTCGCCACTCTGCCTCCCGCCCCCACAAATCCCGTGTCCGGGAGAGGGGGAATCCAGGGCAGAGGGGGATAGGGCGCGGCAGAAACAGTACGCGCGGGGACGGGGGGGACACGATAATCACCAGGAGTCTGAACCTGCGGTAGCGCCGAGCCGAGCGGAGCGGGAACACCAAGGGGCGCAGCCGGAGCCTGCGCATTCACTTGCGCCGATGCGTGAGCTGGAGCGGCGGGAGCCTGGGAGCTTCCAAGATTCTGTGCGCCATTCAGGGCATTGCGCATCGCCGCAGCTAGCATCCCCGGGAAATCCTCGCGAAACTGCTGCATCTCGCTCGGCCCACCGCTCCCGCGACCGTGCCCTCCCCACCAGCCACCGCGGCCCCCGCGGTGCACCGAGCGATACGACGACGAGGGGCGACGGCGAGGAGAACCGCGCCCCCAATGCGCAGCCGCATTGCCCCCTGCGGCACCGCGCATCTGAGACTCCGCGAGACGCTGCGCGACGGGATGTACCGGCGCAGCTGCAGGGGCCACCTGGAGGGCAGGGTCGGGGCCGGCGCCCGCCGCTGTCCCCAGCGTGGGGCCCCCGGCGTCTGCCTGGCCAGCCTGGCCAGTCGGCGGCGCCACAGGCGACGGCTGCGCAACGGGAACCGGCGCGCCGATCGCGGGAACAACGTGGGGAAGGCTTAGCGGGGGAGCTGGCGCCGGCGGGATTAGAGCCGGGGACGGCGCAACAGCGACAGGAGGAGCCGGGGGGGGCAGGGGAGCAGCAGCGGCAACTTGAGCAGCAACAGGAGTTGGAGACGGGGCAATCGCGCTCTCAGCGGTGTGACCTTGGTCCACCGCTGACTTCTCCAATTCAGTCGCCATCACGGCGAACGCGCCGGCAGCAGGCGATCGAGGATGCACGGACGCGGCGAGACGGGGGAATAGGCAGTATCGGAATTCCGCAACTGGCAGCGGCCAGTGCGCGGGCTCGGGGGGGCAGAGGCGGAGGTCGCGGACGTGGCAGAAGCACTCGGGAAGGAGGCCCGGAGAACGCGTTCTAGGTGGCGGCAAGGAGGGCTTTAACGGAGTTAGTTAGAACTAATGAAGAAGGTGAATTATCGGGAAGCATTTATGAGGTCGGGGAGGATGAAGCAGACTCACCGTCAAGTTCGAACGCCTCAGGGGAGGCCCAGTCACAGACACCAGCACGGGGGAGAACCAGCTCAACCCAGGCCCGAAGCACGTCAACAAATTTCAGAAACACCCCCACCCAGGCGCGACTCTCGCCACAGATTCGTACCGCTTCCCGCCCCCCTGCCACCACTGTCAACCATCCCGCCCAACCGAATCTGACATCGCCACCTCCAATCGTACCGCGAACTGCAGCGAGGGGTAACCAGCAGCAACCACAGCCCCCTCCCCAAAAGTCGCCCGAGGCCCTCGCTAGGGATGACGCACTTTTCGCGAATGTCAGCACCTGGGATGTGGATAAGTTGCGCGACAGTCGCAACTCACCTCTGGCACGTCGCCTGCCGGAGAAATTGCGCCTCCTTTTCGCCATGGTGGTGCTGACACCAGTCCTACGACTCGCACGCGACCCTGACTCCCTCTCTGCCTGGAAGGTTTTACTGTTCGCCGCCCGCTTGACTCTGCGTCAGCACTCGCCAAGATATCCGGATTGGAAGGCGACCGAAAAACGCTTGCGGAATTTCCTGCGGGGGGAATGGGAGGCGCTGTACCTGGAAACGATAGATTCTCTTGAACAACCACCACCTCCCCGACACGTGCCAGATGAGCTGGGCGTCATCTCCAGAGCTGAGGGACTCGCACGCCGTGGCAGCTTGAGGAGGGCAGTCATGGCGCTGGAAGCCACCCCTGTCAGCAAACCATCGCCAGATGTGCTGGATGCCCTTCGCGCCAAGCACCCCAGTGCCTCCCGCCCTGACTCACTGTGGCCTCAGCCCACGCAGGAGTCTCACCTGTCCGTAACACGGGAAGCTTTTCTGAAGCTTCTCTCGAGATGTGAGAACGGGGTGGGTGCGGGTCCCTCCGGCACAACTTTCGAGCACCTCTGCGAAGCTGCCCTGCTGCACAGCACAGTTGGTTCTCACTTACACGCATTAGTTAACACAATCCTGAGCGGGAAACTGCACCGGGAAGTTGGGAAGCTTCTTACGGCATCACGGTTGATAGCACTAGACAAACCTGACGGAGGAACCAGGCCGATCGCTATAGGCGAATGCATCCTCCGCCTGGCAGCCAAGGCAGCGCTCACGCAGCTGGCAGACGCAGCAAGGGAATTCTTCTTACCTCTGCAGTTTGGCGTGGCCGTGCCAGGTGGAGCTGAGGCGGTCATCCACATAGTTAGGACCTACGTGGCGGTTAATCCGGATGCTTTAGTCCTGCAGGCGGACCTGGCTAATGCCTTCAACAGCGTTGACCGCTTAGCAATAGCGAAAGCCCTAAAGGGCTCACGATTGGAGCCGCTGCTGCCTCTGGTTCGCTTCTCATACGGCCAGCCGTCCCTCCTTCACTTGGATGCAGCCTTTGCTCACCCGCCCCTGCACAGTGAAACCGGGGTCCGCCAAGGGGATCCCCTCGGTCCCCTTCTCTTCGCCGCCGCCATGCATCCAGCTCTTAAAGCCGCAGCAGAGGCTCATCCATCCGTCGTCTGCCTAGCCTACGCAGACGACGTCACCTTCCTCGGGGAGCCATCGGCGTGCGTGGCTGCCTTCGAACACTTCACGGGCCATTTGGCGGAAATCGGGCTCCGCCACAATCCAGCGAAGTGCGGGGCTTGGTCCAGCAAGACGTCCCCGGATTGCCGCTTACCTGAAGGAGTTCCTCCCAGCAGCGACGGCCTGAAAGTATTGGGCAGTTACATTGGCACAGCACCAGCAACTTCTGATTTCGTACGTACCAGCCTTGCGGGGATGAGCGCGCCGCTGGACTTGATAGAGCGGATGGACCCGCAGCTGGCGGGACTGCTGCTCTCCAGGTGTATCTCTCGCCGGGTCTCTTACCTCGCCCGCACGACACCCCTGCCGTTCCTGCCCAAGGAGGAGTGGTCAGCCTGGGGACGGCGGTTGCTGGAAACTCTTCTCACGGCGTGCGGGATTAGCCATCCGCGGGGTGACGAGGAGATGGCACGTGCTTGGGCACAAGCATCTCTCCCTGTGTCGCTTGGGGGACTTGGCCTAGCAGATCCCTCGGTCGAAGGGCGTTACAGCTTCCTCGCCAGCTACACGCAGGCGCAGCAGCTGCTCGATTCCCTGGACACTGAAAGCATCGGCCCATTAGAGGGCACCCGCGGGCTGATGCGGGGCCCCTACACCCAGGCCTCCCCCCTGACCGAGTGGCTGGCGGAATGTGAAGAGGGGCTGCCCCTGCCGGCAATGGAGGTCCTGCAAACGGAAAGAACAGCCCCAACAGCGGGGAAGCTGCAGCACGGATTGGCCACCGCTATCCAAGGCCAGCGGTACGCGGTACAAGTGGAGGAGGTGCGGGGGATGCGGCCGAACCCCAACAACGGCCACACCCAACGGATTCTGTCCCTGTCAGGTTATGGGGCGGGCGATTGGTTAAATGCCGTGCCAATCCACCAATCGCTTCGGCTCGACGCTCCCCATTATGCCAACGCCCTCCGGTTCCGGCTGGGGCTCCCCTTTGCCGCTCCGGGAGTGTGCAACTGCACGAAGAAGGTCGAGATCTTGGATAAGCGGCTGCCCAATCACCTGCTGCGGTGCGGTACAGGGGGGGGACGTACCAACACACACAACGAACTCAGAGATGAGTGCGCGCGAATGGCAAGGGACGCCGGCTTCATGGTTCACATGGAATCGGCCGCCTTCAGCCCCGTGGAAGGGAAGAAGGCCGACCTAGCCCTCCGCGACCGCACTACTAGCGCGGTCTACATCTGCGACGTGACTGTAACGGATCCGATTAGCACACGGGATGAGAATGCAACCAGGGGGCGGGGATGGGCAGCACGGGAAGCTGCGGATAAAAAGCATGGCCTCTACAAGGACCGACCGGAGGGGGTCAAATTCTTCCCCCTCGCGGTCGAAACGTACGGGTGCCCTTGCCCCGAGACAGTGGATTTCCTGAAGTTACTTGCTGAATCGGCTGCACGGCGGCTTTTCAACGCCGAGCCTACCTCCTACCAAGCTGCCAAACTCTTACACCAGTATCGGCAGCGGTGGTCGGTGGCTCTTCAAAGGGGGCAGTCAGTCGGGTACCAAGAGAAATGCAACATCGCAGCAGCGGTAGAAAACCCGCTGCTTGAGGCGGTAGGAGAGGCCCCGTCACTTGGGGATTGCCTCACGATCCTGGACCCCACCCTGGATCTCCCCTAGGGAGACACGGGGGGGGGGAGGGGGGGGGGCTGCGTTGTGGGTTGAGTAGGATGCTTTGATTTGTGACGACTGTTGCGTGCCATACCAATACCTTGCATGTGTGTACTCCACGATTATCAATGAAAGGGCCATTAGAGAGAGAGAGAGAGAGAGAGAGAGAGAGAGAGAGAGAGAGAGAGAGAGAGAGAGAGAGAGAGAGAGAGAGAGAGAGAGAGAGAGAGACAGAAAGGGGAGGTGGGGGGGGGAGCGGAGGAGTCATGCTGGCTTCTTTCCCTAAATGGGAACGATGTAGTAGAATGAGTGCACGTCTGAGAAGTCCAGAAGGCTGATGGCAATCTGCGTCCCAATAGGCAGAGAGCTTGATTGAGCTGCGGATGCATCATGCCACATGCGCATCTTCCACACAGACATGGTTCACCACGGATCTTCACGCTCAGCCTGTTTGCAGGTGAGAGTGAGAGTGGGAGTGAAATAGTGGCACCTGGGTAGCGGAGATTGACAAGGTGGAGCGGGAGATGTGCCACTGAACGGACTCGTCGCAGGGCGGGTGGAGCTGCGAGCCGGTGTAGTACCAGTAGCCCTTGGAGAGGTCCATCACCTCCTGAAAATCTGTCTTGTATTCTACCGTCACGGTTCCTGGCAGCGGCGGTATGTTATCCAGAATCCTGTGCGCTCAAGCATAGATTGCAAGGGGAATGGAGAGTGAGCGAGGAAATGAGAAAGAGAAGGACCAGCAGACATAACATTGCTGAATCATCCCGTTTTCCAGAGTCATGCACTGAACGAGAGACAGGAAAGTGAAGGCGGCAGGGCAAGTGACGCGTACGTGTTGATCCACGCGTTGTCCTGGTCGTCCTTATCAAGGAGGAACATGGTGACCACGGTGGCCTTGCGAGTGGAGTTCTCCGTGTGAAAGTACCCGTACTTCACCTCCAGCGGAGCATACATGCCGTTCACGGGGTGGTTGGCGGGTGCATGCAGCGACAGGTGATGCAGGAAGTAGGTTCCGTCCGGCAGCAGGAGCAGTGAGTCGTTGTTGGTGGGGTAGATCACTGGCAGGAAACGAAGGTGGGAGGGGAAGAGAGTGTGGGATAAAGCAGGTTGGTGCGAGGCGGGAAGGATCGATTGAAGTTTTTGAAGGCAAGAAGAAACGGAATCCAGTGTTTGAAGCTGAACGAGTGAACTGATGAAGCAGACAATACGCTCTGCCAGATATATCCGACATAAAGATACACCAATGGGAGCAAATCGGGTTAAAATGTAGGAAGTATCAACAACAGAAAGAAGTACGCATTATGGAAAATGGAATTAGGAATGGAATAGAATGGGGGAGCAGAAAAACGAGTCGTCTTACTCAAGGAGTAGGGAACGGAAAGGTTGGTGTTCTTAATAAGAATGCTGCTGCTCATCACGTGAGCCAGCTTCATGTAACGGTTGCCTCCATGCTTGACGGAATTTGTGACGGTGTTAATGGGACTCTGATTGACTCTTGAGGGGCACTCGCCCTGTGGAATATTAAGCAGCGAGTAGGAATCCAGAGCTATGAGGTACAGAGAGGCTTCTCAGACAAGCGGCCTACTGTGAAAGGCACTCTGGAATACGGAACGTCAAGATGAACATGGTTGAACAAAAAGAAAAGAAGAGAAGAAGAAGAGGAGAAGAAAGAAAGAAAACAAAGAAACAAACAAACCGCAAAACATACACAC